CAATTCTCAGTCCACGGCAGCATAACAACTTCACCAATCATGATCAATTTTTCGAAAATTTGAGTATTTTTCCCATAATTTTGAGTAAAATGTAGGCAATTTTTAATTTTGTTTACACACCGATTTCTCAAAAACGACACCATTTACTTATGCGGATACTGCATTTACTCATACTCGTATTTACGTAGTGTAGAGAAAGTAAATTGCTAAGTGAAAACACGATTTGTCATCAGAAAAATTATTAGGAGGCCTAGTATCGAAAAAATGGATAAATCTCGTTCCTACAAGGGACTTCATCTAACATGTTGTGTAGTCAACATTTACGTTTTGTGGGTCCTTCATACAGAACCAGTGATGCTACAACAACACATACTTTCTCGCAATATAATATCGTTATATCTTAAATTCTGCTCTTCCTACACTTCAAATATCACTTTATCTCGCAACAAAAGAAGGGTGAAAAAAGGTTTTTTATTCAAAATTTGAATGAAAATATATATCAGGCATTGAATTCAGCATATAAGATATTCAATGTATTCACTGGTAAAAGTAAAAATGTTCTTACAAATTTATGGTACTCAATTTTTCTTCAATCTCTAAACAGTAATACTCTTGATTGTGCAGATGTACGGATGAGTGACATTTCGTCACTGGCGGCTAGACCACTTCCTGTTCACCAATCGAGGTGTATGATGTGTCATCCGACGCGTCTCGGTCACCTGATGGGAAACTAACAATTTGTTTTTGTATCCGACCAGAAGATTCAAATAAATTTCAAAAAATGTGCTCTTTTGTGTTTTGACACTGCCATCTTAATGATAATGCCAGGAATTAAACCAATGCCTCCTAAATCGATCTATGTATCTGGCACCCAAACAAATTTTTAGCAATATACGACATAATTTTCGTTCAAGACGTTGGCAACACAGTCGTTTTGTGTGAAAACTAGCTTCAGAAACGCTCAAACACCATTTTCTCAAAAATGACTCCAAATTTTTTCATCAAACTTTTCGAACGGATAGTGCTAATTGCTCTCCTTAATATGACGTAAAGTTCATTTCGAGGTATTGTTTTCAAAAATTACACCTGTATTTTTTTAATATCTGTCACGATGTTTGTATGCACATGTCCAAAAATTTGTAAACACTATTGTGTTTTTAGATAAATTACTTAAAATGACTTCAAATGAAGCTATTCGAAAACTCAAAAATTTTCTGTTTAAAAGAGCTCTAAGTTTCGAATTTACAGTATCGCTTGAGCGGCATTTTCTTTAAAACAGCTGCAAATTTTTCAAAAATAATTGCAATTTTGGACGAAGTTTTACTGTGCTTTAATATTCATAAAATAATATTTTCGTTCTATTATTATAAAACAGAAGTTAATAATTTAAACGGCATTATTGCGGTAATCTGCAATTTCAAAACTAAGGGTTGCATAGATCAGAATGTATATAGTCTGTGTATTCTGAAATCTCACAAATCACAATGTGCAATGAAACTCGGGAGCAAAAATGGTAGTTTTCAAGTGTTGCTAATGTCTCATTTTTTAAATATTTTCCGTTATTCAACTATTTATATTTAAAATAGAAAGAGAACCTGGAGCTAAACAAACATTGTGCAGATGGAAATGTTTCTTAAATGAATCAATTCAAATGAAAGTAGTTACCTCTCTCACCCCATCATTAATAATTCCATCTCCACTGAACCACACTGCCCACCTTCGCTCTGTAAATTTGTCAATCCTTCACCACTTGGCCAGATCGCCAACCGAAGCACCTGATCAGAGAGAGCATCACACCTCCCCCCCCCCTAGCACTCACCGCTCCGCGTCGCCAATGGATCTCTCTCCGCAGGCCGCACGAACCTTGCCGCTGCCGCCGCCGCCTCTTCCGACGCCTCCACCGCCTCAGCCCCCATTTCTTCCCCACTTAGCCAGGCCGTCCACCGAACCACCTGATCAGAAAGAGCTTCACCTCCCCCTAGCACTCCCCGCTCCGCGTCGCCAATGGACCTCTCTCCGCAGGTCGCACGAACCTTGCCGCCGCCGCCTCTACCGCGGCCTCGCCGCCTCCGCCCCGCCGCCCCCGCCCCGGAAAATTCCCCAAACGACCTGAGGGCTTGGGCGGGGGCGGCGTTTCCAAGCTGTCTCCAACCGCCGCCGCCAAGCTTCTCCATAAGAATTGTGGGTTTCGGCTGTGGCGGGGGTATTAAGAAAGTAGAAATAAAGTGATCGATTTTTATTTCAATGATATCTGTTTGCTTAATGGTAAATTGGAGAAGAAACCAACTTCCCCAATTCACGCAAATTCATTCCTTAGTGAAAACATCCCAGAGAATACACAGGTATAAATGTATAGAATTTCATTATTTCAGCCCACCAAACGATTATGGTGTAATTTTAGCCAACACACTTTAGAAAATACTTTTTGCCCCAAAACTATTGGGACATATTTTCCCCCATTACATTAGGGTACATTTTTTACCCAAAAACAATCAAAGCCATTTCTTCTACCTACCAACTATTGGCATAAATCCACAAAGTCTCTGGCTAGAAAAATAATGGCTTGCAAACCACTCGTACGCTTGACGTAGAAACCAGATAAAAACGATTATAGCACACAACGCCTTGAGTGAAGACCCAGAATCAGTCAGATGCAACCTGTTCACAATATGGTGTGCTTCTTACAAGGGGAGGAGTCCGGCAAATAATATACTACTATCATGGGAGTCATCCTAACATACGTAACAATTCATATTATTTAATAATAAATTATTGAGCACAACATTATCGATGTAAACATTAAAATCTTACCTAAGAAACATACTGTGGTGCCTCATACTTTCTCGCATTAGTTACGTAACGGTTACGGTAAATTATTATACCACAATTTCCGTCCATTTAACACATATCAGCCATCAGTTGTAAAACTCGTTACCAATCGTAACGCATTAGGCGTGAAAATGTAATTTATTTAAACTTAAACATCGACACACATTCGACAACTCAAACCCACAAATCCATAAACACCATCCAAAATTGAAAGGGGCATGTCGCGGCTTTGCAATTATATTGCGATTTGATAAATCTTGAATAATTTTAGCAACAGACGTGTAAGAAATTAAAATTTAAACGTTGATTGAAACTGCAGTACGAAATTTCCAAGAAGTATAATGACCTTATATACAGATCAATTTTTTTATGCAAACCTCTTTCATCAATACTGTAGTTTTTGACGTTGATCTAATATGTGTTTACTTCTACTTCTGCAATTGCATGCAAATCTAACATTAAAAGGCGACTGTTTTGCATGTTTATGCAAATTCACTCTTTTAGCATTGCACTTCTTGAGACTTTTTCTTTTGGCATCCTCTCAAGCGCGCTTAACAAGAACAGCAAACTGACTGAGCTCCCATTTCCACACCTCAATACCAAATTATTACTGAAGAAAACTCCGTCTATTTTGAGTGCTAATCTTGAGCGCTAATCTTGAAGACAGCTGTGTTCTTAGAAAGGAACAGATAGCTCACTAATGCTCGAGAAGATCGGAAAGACAAGGGAATTTTCCTGTTCTCTGGAGTGCCCTGGCGGGCTTGGGCGAAGTAGATGGGAGTATCTTGCACGGCGTCAAAATTGCATACGTCTGTAAGCGGTGTTCCTGCTCGCTTCGTCACAGGCCAGAACATATAAGGTCATAGATCTCTATCGGAGAACGCCCAGGTACATTTTACGCATTTATTACTGGTTTGGCATTCACAATCGTTGCTGAATCGAATCTTGAAAAGAAACATTATGTTCAATATAATTTGAGAATTAAATCTATTTTAAATTGCGTCATTTAATTGAGTTAAATGTGAAAACAAATGGATCATTTCCTTTCGCATGCTAAGGTGCGGGAATGACGAGTTTGTGAAAACACGAGTAGTTTTGGTGAATATAACAATTTATTTATTTTATTTTTCTATCCATTTCGTTTTGTTCCTGGCTGTATGAGGAATGCTGATTTGCAAAATGTGTGTGTCATACGAATCAGCAGCCACTGTAGGTTTGACAACGCCGCACTAGTAACAGAAGGCGGTGGTGACGGCCGTTTCTAGTTCGCGTTATTATAAACAAATAACTTTATTTACGGATAAAATGTGCATCTACGAAGCTTTCGTTAATATTTAACGAAGACTTCTGTATCGGGCATCATTGGTATAGTTATGTACAACGTAAATACACTCAATTGAATTGCAGATGGCTGTTTTCTTTTAAATATTTGAATTTAAAAAATATATGTTTTTGCGCTTTTTTTGTCTAAGCATTTTTAAATGGTAGTCGAAGTGCACTTAAGATAAAAATTGCCACATTATAATAATACAGAAACATTAACAATATTGCGAGAAAGTATGTGCTTATAGAGCACAACTAGTGTCTATTTGCACAAAACCCGGGGCATTTTACCATTCCGATATGATTTATCGGGATCAAACACCAGAAACGAATCCTGTGTCCATCAGATCCTGTGTCTTTTACTCTAGTGACCCCACTCAACGTGAATGGTTCGTGTTGGGTGTTTCTGCAAGTGGTTTCATAAACTGAATCGATTTTCTGCACTTGTACAAACAACAAACGAGATTACGCGCATGACTAGTACGAAGTAATCACATCTCGTGGTTTGTTACGTGTAGAAATTCCTACTTGTTTTCTCCAGGGGGTCATGTTTTCGTATCAAATCACTATGCAAGTGCAATCTCATTGTTTGCTCGCTCTGACAGAGCACGAACACTTGATTAGTAAGCATTATATCTTCTTCTCTGCCCCTCCAGACGTTCTTGTGGTGGTCGTTTTTGCTTTCCGAACGATCCAGCACGACGCGATAAGGCGGTTATATGTCTGTGCCGCACGACGGGAGATAAAACAGATCGCCTCAGGCCGCGAAAATGAGCTGTTGTGGCTGCAGCTGTTAGTTCTCGACGTGTGTCGTTCACAATTCGTTCGTATTCACCTCCACCGCTACAATGGAGCCGTGTACTTCAGACAGCAGCTGTGACAGTGACAATCTGCCTTCAGAGAAGACATTGGATTATGCACACCTCATGCTCGATTCAAGCACTTTGTCTTGCAACTTGGAACAAGTGAAAAGCGCCAACAAAAAGGCGATCAAAGACATTGAGATTCTTTTGTTGCAAAACAATCGACTGCGCTCTCTACCTCCCAACATTGATATTTTGAGTAGTCTCAGAGTTTTGGATGTTAGTTCGAACGGGCTGACGCACATTCCTGAAGAGATCGCTGTATGTCCCTTGGTGACCTTTGCAGCAAAGAATAACGCGTTAGAGGATGAATCTCTTCCGAAATCCCTGTCTACTATGAAGACCCTGAAGGAAATCAACCTGAGTGGCAATCGACTAACTGCATTCCCACCGCAAATCCTGGAACTCTCCAACGTCAAGTATTTGTATCTGGGAGGAAACCAAATAACATGCGTCCCCAGAGATATCTGGAAACTAATAAGGTAAGTAAATGCATTGTAAATACCTATTCGTTGTATGTGTATCTTGCTTTTGACTTAATTGTTTGTAGCCGGGGGGTCATAATGGTAGACCGTTACAAAGAGAAGAGGGGCGCTTTAAGGGGCCAGAACCATTTTATATTAATTACGCATAATATTATAATAATACTACCTAATCTTATGCAAAATTTGGCCAAACACATTGCGTCTGCCGCAGTTTAATTCATACGGTGCATCTGTGACGTATTGGTATGAGTGACGGCAAATTACCGGTTATGACATTGAGGATGAAAGTTCGGGTCTGAGAGTGGTAATAATTGCCGGTTGAAAACAGTTCTGCAGGTTTATGTACCAGTATAATATAGCGGAGCAATTAGAAATAATGCGAGAAAGTGTGTGCTCCGGAGTCTCCGCCAGTTTAACGAATCTGATGCGCGAGGCCCACGCACGCGGCATGAGTGTCATGTGGATAAACTACAACTGAGACGTCAATACAAAATGTGGCTCTAGACGATCAGGGTCATTAGCAATACAACCCAGGTCTTTACGAGAACTTTGTGCAGACGCTTTCTTTCAGGTTATTGTTTTCTTGGTATAATCCGCGTTTCTTTGGCTTTCATTTCGCTAGATACTAGAGGAGTCGAACTATTGGTTATTTCGACGGCAGCACTATGGCTTATTTTTCGACGAAAATAGTTTCTGTTACCAGGGATAAAAATTTCTTGTTATCAAGCACGTTGTTCGTTTATCATTTATTAACAATTCAGCTACATGTTTGTAAATGAGAGGGAATAGGGATTCCAGAGTTCAAGAAAACATATATTGTACATTTTATCAGGTAGGTACTTACTAAAAAGTAATATTTATTTCCCTAACAGAATGATTACAAAACGTGAAATTAATAGCATAAACCGCTAATAGGCAGTAACTATACGCGTAGTACTTTAACATTTCATATACTGTTTGCGTTTTATACATCGTTTCTCTAGACTAACGAAATTAGTTTCGAGCAAGATCACAGATTCTAATGAATGGTAATTGGAGCATACTTACAAATTATTTGTACTACGTATTTCGTTTGCTTGTGCGAGTGGTTTAGCGATACCACCATGCTCTGGCGTTCCAGTTGAAACCACACCAGCTTTCTGGACTCGTGATGTTTATCACACACGCTTTAGAGCATCGCGTGGGATGTCGTAGTCCCTTCTGCAGCGTAACAGGGTTCCCAAGTAAGTTCCTTCTCGCAAAACTCGCTATTTGCTGTTCAATAAATGAATAAGGGGATTCCTTTTACGGTGAGTGTCTTTTCTTGGTTTCAAATCGAAATTCAGTATTAGTAAAGTTAGATTCAGAAACAGTCGGATTGTTTTGTACACAAAATGTCATAGTTACTGAGGGCTGAGGGGGGCATGATTTTATTAGAGATTTTAACTAATCCATTGTTAGATCCGGTAAATATATGATTAGAAAGTATACCAATGACCGGGAAGAACTATGCGGTGATAGTTGTTGATTGATTTCATAATTGTTTTTTATTTACAACTACTTTGCAATGTAGTTAACCAATTTGGTTTCCCAATTTTATCTTATCTCCATTCTATCACCACATTTCCTTTAGCTTATATCTTTTCTCTAAGTACATACTCCTTTCTTAACTACATACAATACAATCCTCCCTTTTATTTCTTCTTACTAACCTGGTACACAATTGCCTCTATAACAATCTTTCCAAATATATCTCCAACATCCGAATATATCCCTATACCTTATTTCCCCTACCTTCTCACTCATTCCTTTTTGTTTTACTCGCCTCAAAATTTGCCACTCTCACTTTCATTTTCAACATTATTCTCTTTTCGATTCACTCCGCAGTCACTATCTCAAAATCCTTAACATTCCATACATCTTTACATTCTTTTTGTTTACCATCCATTAAACATTTCATTACATTAAATATGCATCCCAATCTTCTTCCTCTCCCACTTTTCCTACACAAATTATCTTCTTTTATTTACCCACTTCAGATATTAACCCATATAGTTTGCCTTCAGCTTCTTTTCAAACCTATTCCTTGCCATTATCCTTATCTTTACAATCTTGCGAGAACGCAGAGCCTCATTGTATTTAGATTCCTTAATCACCTCTTACACACCTTCTCCTCTTGAATGTCATTCTTACTTACAATTACAGTTCTGCAGACATCCATCCTTCCCTCTTCTCTTAAACATTTGTTACCCAGCTTACTTCTGCCATTATAAAACTGTTCACGCTCTTTTCCCCCTCTTGACACTTCACTTTTATTACCCGTCTTCGTTTTACTCAAGCCTTATCGACTGTATCGTTCCCTGCCACCCTCTCTAGTCTCCCATTGCCCTCCTTGCTGCCCAACTCCTCCTGCGGATCCTTCCTAATTAAACATGTCGGACTAATTAAGCCCAACTTCCAACTTATAAATTATCTACACCTCATCGCTTTCTCCAATCGATGATTTCCGCGATCTCAGTAAGTTCATCATAATTATTGCAAATGCGGCGTTCCGTAATCGAATTGTCCGTTAACTGTATTACCGTAAATTTGGAATCTATATACGAACAAGATAAATTCTTTCTGACCCCGAAAAATAAACAAAATTATATTTTTCAGTACATTAAACACACTATATCATATGTTTCATTATATTAAATAATTTTCTGTAAGAACTAAACAGCAATAAACTTACGCAGCTTTGTATTTTTATCGTGATGTAAGTAAGAAGGTTTTGTGTCTCCTGAAGATTATTAAGATAGCCATTTCAAATACGCGTGGTCTTTCTTTCAGTTGAGCTATTGCTGACAAAGAGAACGCGTGAAAGCGAAAGAGATTAGCGGTTTTTGATATGATTGTCTTTTGAACAAATATTTGTAAGACTCTCGTTGTTACTGTGAAAGCTCTTACAAGATTACTTTGCATTTGCATTTTGTTTATTCTCATTACTCATTCAACGTCAAATAAACATTATATTCAGTATTTTTAATATTTATTTATTCTTGCATGGATATACATAGTTCTGTATTATGTGCACACTACATCATGTGTTGTCAGACTTACAATTAAACTGAAATTCTAATTACAAGTATAGCTAACTAGTCCTGAATACGAAACTCAGAGCACCAATGGGATTAATTTATCTCTGAAAATATGCTGAAGAATTAATCTAATGGATACCTAATTTTACTTTCCCGTACACTTACGTGTATACGGAGTAATATACGTACTATAGGGAAAGTTATGTAATACTGCGAAAATCTATTTCGAGATTTCAACCGAAATACCCGTATTGGGATCCCCTGATACCGAGAAAATGTTATTTTCAAAATATTCCATCCGGTCGTTGGACCGTCCGTCTGTCTGTCTGTCTGTCAGCCCATCCATCTGTGAACACTACCAACGCCAAAACCGTGCGTAGGTTTTTTTTAAAAAAAAATGAATAAACCCCTGTCAATTTGGCTCGAATGGAAGCTTTGAGATTTTGAAAACATTCTATAAAACGTGAGGGACTTTACATGAAGCTCTACTGACATTTTCATAATTTGCTAAAGAAACGGCTTCACATTATTTCTTTACAATTCTGTAAGAATTGAGTAACATATACTTATGAAAGTGACGTAGGTCGGATATTCCCGGTTAACTCTGAATTTTCGAAAATTTCAAAAGTATAAATTTTTTTTGGTGTCTTCCTACAACCACAAAATTCAAGATAGAGAATTTCCCTTCAAATGAAATTTTTTCTCCATACTGAGTTCTTTGTATGAGGTATTGTCCCTTTGTTTAAAAAAATAGTTTTCACGCAATATTGCATGCAATACATGCAATTTTACAAAATAACAAAAATGTTCTTTTCAAAAACATCTCCCATTTTTTCCTTTGATCTTTTGATAGGGATAGTGCTAAATGTAATCTAAGAGATGACATAAACCGCCATATTTCTCTATTCTTTTGTGTGTTTTTTTTCTTCAAAAATTACAAAAAAATATTTTTACTTGTCTCTCACGTCATAAATATTTATATTAGCAGTAATTTGTTCACATTATTGTATTTATGAGTACTTGTCAGATAAAGTTTGTCGAAAACAGTTTTGTGTTTGTTTTTTTTTTAATTTATTGTCTACCTGTTCAACATACATGTTTTTCAGGGTTGTGAAATACAATATACTAACTTTGTTTTATTTCCTAACTGTGGGTGCGCCTCGACGGATGCCGACTACGTGTTTTTGTTGTTTATTTATTATTATTCTTTTTTATTTTTTAATAATTTAAATTATTACGGAAGTATATTAAGAGTTACAGAGGCTGATCGGTTGATATGATTATTGGACTAAAGGTTAATATTATTTTGAGGGCCATTTTCTGGTCATTTATGGTGGTCTGAATCTTTCTTTAGGAAGCGTGGTTGATCCGCGTACAGTCTCGGTTCTGCTGTGCGTCCCAAGGTTGAAAATGGAGGTGGCTGGGAGATGAGGGGAGTGATGTGAAAGTCTTCGGACAGTTTTGGTAATGTGTTCTTTTTATTGTCGAATTTGCAGTTCCGTCGGTTTTGGTTTTGCTTGTTGAAATAAACGCCATGGCGCTTTAAAATTATAGTTCTTAGCGCTTTATTTTGTATAGTTTGCTAACAGGCTTTATATTAGCATTTTGCTGCATTTCCCATATTGGGCATGCATAAGTCATAGTTGGTCGAATATAGACTTGTAAATTATCATTCCGGTTCTCCTATCTCTTTAGGGAAGATTTTTTTGTTATTAGTGCGTAAAGTTGGGAAAGTTTTTGCTTGTGTTTGGTTCGTGGTTGTGTAAAATTGTGTTTTCCAGTTTAATTTAGTATCAAGTTGCATTCTAAATATTTCCTGCCGTTACTTATTTGCAGCCCAGAGGAATATTTTTCGTTGTTCAAAATCTAACTGCGGAGGGGTGAGGGGATGGTCTAGGGTGAAATTTTTCGCTGTGTTTTTATATGGACTTCATTTTA